TAAGGCTTTTAATCCTTTGTAGAAGAGATTAATATCTAAATCGTTTTGCTGAAGACAGACTTCAGAAACCTCAAAACTTTATGTTGCTAATACTACAATAAAAGTGTCAAGCAGTGGCAATTTAATTAAAAAGAAGAAAGATAAATGTACAGATTGAAACAATTTTGTCATGAAGCACAATTTACTAAATTATTATTTATGCAGGTCTGCAAATTACATGAAAGTAATTCTTTAAGATGATATGCTTTTCTGATTTATTGGCCTATTTCTGTAATTTACAGTGATATCTTGTTATAAGTATTCACTTGTCTGAATATTTTTGATACATAATTAAAAAACAACTTTTATTAAAAACCCATATACACAGCATAGTAAGTACACTACATAGGAGAAATATTTTATGAGAAATGGAAATTTATAAATGTCAATGCATTTTTATACATTTATTTTGAAAATCTAGAAAATCCCATGTTGATTTCAGAAGTTGTAGAGGAAAAAAATTTAAAGGTGTGGTTTTGCAGAGAAACTTTTTAATTACGGTTAACAATTTCAGACTTATTTGTCCTCGTAAAGGTACAGGGAATAAAAAAAAAAATAAACAAAAATCAATAATCAAAACACATATAAATTTAGAAAGACATAAAACCTAGAAATCTTCAGCAAGAGAGAATATCTTTCAAATTTACTGGCAACTAAGTATCCAGTGAAGATTTCTACTGAAGCCACATTGAAGCTAGTAAAAGAGATCAATTGTCAGTGTCATTCTTCCTCAGTGATCATGTCACTGCAGAAGATTAGAAATTAACACTGTTTACAGCGTGTGTGACTAGCCAGCAGGCTAACCAGAGCCAGATTGTCTTTCACAATGTCTTGTCTCTCTAGAACACAAAAACTCAAACTAGCGGCATTAATCAACTTAAAAAAAATCTGATCACATCAAGATATCTCATGCGTTCAGCCTGCAAACTATTCATCCTGATCTATAAACTAATTTTTTTTTAAAAAAAAAAGAGCTAAAAGGAGACATTATTTCTACTTTCAGCATCAAGAGCCCATATTGCAGGAAATCATGATCTATTTTAACAGATTTTTATGTAAATATATAGTCTTTTAAAGCCATGTGTGCATAAGTGCTCCAGAACACTGGTTTACAGCTTATTATGCTAAATGCAAGGCTCACAAAACTGCCTGCCACTAAATCCTGGGGTCACGCAGAGCAGTCTGCACAGAACCATGCCCAGATGGCAGTTTCAGTTGCTAACTTTGCCAAATATAAATAAAAATTCAGCTGAAGTTTTCGATGTCAGTTTTCCATTTCTACTTATTTTTAGAAAATATTCAACCATTTCTAAGAATCAATTTCCGGAAAAAAAATCGTATTCACAAAAATGGATAGTTTTCAAATCAAAGTTTTGTAGGATCTTCAAGCTTTGAAGCACAGATGTTATTTCAATATTTCACTGTGTAAATACACATGTATGTTTACACACCAATCTGTAAACTGAATTTTATAAATCTGAAAAAGTTAACTTGAGATCTCTAAGACTTTAATAGTTAAATTCTTTAAGATTCCACATGCACTGGGTATGCAGTGACTTATCAAGAAAACTGAAGATCTTTATATATTCTGTCACCACATGTGTGAGGATTCTCATGTGTAACCAAAATAGGAGGAACCGACCCTTTTTAGGAATTTCTCTTTGACAATCCTTACTTGCCTGCTGTTCTTGTACTTTCACCTTCTGCTAAAGCAACTGGTTCTGGACAGTGACAGTTCATTAGGATAAAAGACCAGGTTATCATTAGTCATACTTAACGTTGAACTCAGTTACTAAGTTGATCCAACTCACACAGTTTATAGGTCAGGAGGCTACCTATTCCAAACTTCTGCTCAAAGCAGGCTCAGCCACGAGATCAGAACGGGGTCCTCAGGGCTTCAGCCAGACAGGTCTGGAAAGCCTCCACAGATGGAGGCTACACCCACTCTCTAGGAAACTTGTTTGGCTATATTAATGATTAAAAGGGTCTGCTTTTAATCAGGATTGTTCTTGGTGTGGTATCTAAAATAAGGACTTGGAAGTGTTCTTGAAAGTCCACAGAAGACAAAAGACTAGCTTACTGAACTAGAGATGTGTGCTTGCTTTGGAAAGGCAAGTAGTGCTTCTGCATTTTATCCTAACCTACAGTTCTCTATAACATTTTACTCTGCCCTGCCTTCCTCTGAATTCAGCAAGGTTATTGTGCTTGAACCACCTAAGAAGCTACATACAGGTAATGGGAGGAATATTTTGAAGTAGAAAAATATTTGTAAAAACTTTTCCACAGACAACAGTGGAAACTATGAGATCTGGTTGACTCTTATGCATACACAATGTGTTGGATCAAGGAAATTTCTGTGAAGTTTAATTCTTGTTAGGACTGGACTCAAATAGGACCTGGGCTGAATTGTCCACTGCATAGGCAATTCTCCTTCCTCTACATATCCTCCAGGGAACACCTCCTCACTAAACTGCTAATCAGGCAGATAAAGATCTTCAAGTACTACTGAATCCAACACGAATAAGAAACATCACTGATTCTCTGGAAAATAGAACACAAATGAAACAAACAAAACAACACACCGCTCTCAAAAAACCAACAAACTCTAGCATACAACAGAACTTCCAAGAATTTTCAGTAGGAAGTAAAATAACTATAAAGCAATCATTCCAAGTAGTACAACTGTTGAAGATACAGACAATTCCATTATATGTAACTAGAAATCCTTGAAAGCCATCAGTTCTGTCTATAACAGGCTTGAGGACTTAAATAATTTAAGAAACTATGAGAGGCATAATCACTATGGAATGACAACTGAAACCTGAGACACTTGTAAGAACAGACAATTTTTCTCTGTCTGGAAGTAGCTATGGGACTGGCCACATGTCCAACCATTTCAAAGACAGAAAGACAGACGAAGTGAAGGAATGAACACGTACATTTTTCTTTTCCTCTCAGCATTGATATTAATTTCCAAGCCCAGTGACTAGTTCAGAGTTCTCCTGAAACACAGTGTAACCCCATACCTATCAAAAACAAAGGGAGGAGAATATTTCTTGTGACTACAGGGTACAGTGTACAGTCTCTGATGACTTGGGGGATTTAGCCATTCTTCTCTGCATCTAACTTTACACACCATCCAAAATCTCTGTATCAAGGGTAGCCAACAGCAGAGGAAGAATGAAAATGGTGGCAGAGAAAGCAGTTTCTGTCAACCCAGAACTGAAATGTTCTGCTTGCTATCCAGACAATGTGGATATTGTCTCTATGGCACTGCGATAGTATTGCTCTGCAAAAGTCATGCTGTAGCTTCTGTAGTTCTAATGAGAAAACTGCTCTAAAATAACATCTCAGCAGTGTACTGTCTCACTGATGACTGTAGTCTACACAATCATCTATCGAAAATCCCTATCCTAAAAGAACTGAAAATATTTTAAATGTCCCAATGAAATCCAACTCACAACTGTTGCTGCCAAATACATTCTTCACAACATACTGGAAAGAAATTACTGAGTCTGTAGGCACAACTAACAAAAATAATAAAAAGTACCAGTCCTTCTGTCTGTCCTCAAGCAGAGAATTACTGAGTCAAAAGCCTTTTCTGGGATAAGATTAATGTGCCACATGCTAACAATCAAAATTTGCATCAGTGCTTATAAATAAAACAGCTATAGCCTAAAAAGTGGCACAATACCTCCTTACTGTTTCCCACTCTAAATTGGTTTTGTCCATAGCTTAGCCCATTCTCTACCCATTGTTAGCTTATCTACTCATCCAGTAATTATGTGGACTATAATTGTCCATAATACAAAATATTATTAAAATTAACATTTCATCTCTCTCTAACCCAATTGTTTAATTACATTTTTTCCAAGAATCTCCCTTTATCAATTAAGACATACCACTAAATTTATCTAGTCTCGGGTAAGCACAGCAAGTTGTATTCTTTTTGCTCAACTGTGTCTTCCCTGCATTTATTACAGCATTTATAAACTCCCAGTGTAATACCAGTTACAGATTTAGAAAAAATAACTATGCCTAACAAAAGAGTAAAGAGTAAAAAAAAAAAATACATCTGTGTTTTAAAAAGCTGACAATTTTTCACATAAAAATTATCTGAGAAGAAATTTAATTTAAAAAAATTCTTCCTAGTATTGATCATAAATTGAGCGCAAAATTAGCATATTGCCAGCCATCTCCGGTTGTGCTGTATATCTACTCAATTTTGACAAATACCTGAAAAATGTTTTAAATATACAGAAAAAAATCTATGAAACCATGCAGATGTTAAAAACTCTTCAGGACACTGACTGTGAGAATTCCATTAAAATGAATGCTCTTTACTCTGAGACAAAGCTATCTGATCCTCCAAACATGAATGCCCATCTAGTTATTCTAGGAAAATTGTTCAGCCTAGTATAAGAATGGATCAACATACTGATCTACAAATAAAAAGGTATTTAACATTGCCACTGTTTTTACAAGCTGAATTTCGACTCAGTTCATTTACATTAAAAATTATTTCAATTATTTCATTATTTTGTTGGTGTGTGAATGACTATTGCATACCACTTTCTTTGTATTTCTTTTGCTTTATATTTGAAACATGCTTTATCATTTTAGAGTTTACCAGCAACAGCCTCTATTTAATACCCTCTTCCCACAAAAATTGGACTTGTATCTGGCACATAACACAGTGGCAGACTGCTGAAGGATTATAATTTAAATCTGAAAGACAAAAATTTTTTATTAAAAAATCTCTGCTAAAGCAGAGATATCTTAATAAGGATAATATTTTTTTCAATACGATGCAAAAATAAGACTTAAAAGACGCTTACGTATACAATTGCAGCCACAGTTATTACGCTCCATATAATATTAAAGAAAGAGGTTCAAAACAGTTCTGCATGAATGAAGCTGCAAAAAAAAAAGACGAAATTATTTGAGTTCTCAAGCCTTACCTGACCAGTGTCCAGTGGTGGTGCCTGATCTGTCAGTACACGTCTCGCTTACAGGCCTAAAGACAGTCTCCCAGCCACCTGTAGCATAGCGCCAATTCTGAGACTCTAAAATGAGTGTTCGTTGAGTGCCGTAAGCGATCATGAAGCAGTAGACCACATGATGAAGCTGACAACCATAGCCACAGCCTTTGTTGATATTACACACAAGTTTCTTAGCTTTGCTGCAGTCCTTGGGGTTCTGTAAGTATGGATGAAAAAGCGAAGCTGAAGAGAAGATACACACAAAGGCATACTTTTTTCTGAAAAGCCAACAAATGCCATAAATTACACAAGCCACCCTGCTATAATACATCTCCTATTAAAATGGATGAGTAAGCTTCAGCTCCATCAAAATTTTATGTGAATTCTTCACTGTGAACATGAACACTTATTAAACATACTTCACTATCCTAATGTAAAATAGAATACCTTTAAGATTTTAAATTACTCTCTCATTTGCAAACCTGTCAGAATAAGCTAATATTTGGACTCAGAGTTCACATTTCATCAACATGATTCTTGGTGTTGGAATGCTTTTTCTTTTGGCATTTTTTCCAAGTTTGTTAGTCCTCTTTCAATGAGTATGCACATCATCCAACAAGAGAAAATTTCCACCTATCTACAGGATACAGAATAAAACAAATGCTTATTATTAATGGACTGCTTCCCAGACTAACTGACCACATACCAAATACAGCATACAAAACACATACCTGAGCAGACTGATAAAACACATTTCAACCATGCACTCACAGTAAAATAATATACTACATTTCCACAATCCAAGAAACAACAACAAAGAAGGCAAAAGTCTATGTGATGTGAATGCTATGTTTAAAAGTACAAACTAATAAATATTTTTAGGTATGTGGACAACACAACATAATCTGCAGAATTTTTTCCTTCTATGAAACATAGTACTTTGCTGTATACATTCACAGTTGCCTGTCTCTGGACATACTTCTGCATTCCAAAAAGGTTTTTTATAAAACCTGTAGGATGAAAACTTAGTTTTCAGTTAAGCTGCAAGAATATTGATATTTGAGCATCAATGTAAATTCTGTTCCCCTCACATCTAAACAACTTTAAATAAAATCCTCTGTAAATTTGCAACAAATCAGGTCTTTCCAAAAACCAATAATCACTATCTGGAGAACTGAGATTTCTCCATTAAGTAATCTTAAACACAATCTGAATATTCTGAGTCCTAAAATACTTAATAAAACTTTTAATTTGTGCATTCAGTTGTGCGAAGCAGGGGAAAATAGTTCAGATCTGGAAACATAGGGGCAAAAAACCCAACAACCCCACAACCTGTGTTACTTCAGCATTTTTTCATTTTAAGGAAAAAATATCTGATTCAAAGCCTAGCCTGCTATAAAAAAATCAATAAATTAAATAAAATTTCCATTCCTAATTTTTCCTTCTCAGACCAGTACTCTTGCTATCACAAATCTAATGGATAACTGGAGACTAAATCTAACCAGTACCTTTGAGACTATAACAAATCTACTTCCCACAGTTTTTTATGAGAGGGGTTTTTAGTATTGTGTGCAAGTCCATGAAGAAAGAATTCCATGAAAAAATCTCCTCCCTAAATCTACAGTCATATTTACAGCACACAATGAAATGCAATGATAGCAGCTGCAAGAAGAATCATTTTCTGCTGTTAACTGTTACTGTGTAGAAAAGACTTGAGCTCAAAAAACAAAGACAATAGTGTATATTGTTATATTGCTCTTTTTAACTAAAATATTAGGCTAATAAAGAAATATAAGAAGCTTTTTTCTGTCATTTAGGAATTGTCAGAAGCAGACAAAAGTGTTCAGTTACAGAAGCTGAAAATTTGTATTTTGTGTTTATCTGGTTTACTTCTATTTTTGAAATACGTGTTTAGATGTTTTAACTGCTAGTCAGTAATACTAATTCATACTTTATACAGACTATCTCAGAAGAGTTTTAATACCACTGTCTAACATACTATAACTAGATTGGAAAAAGAACTATTTTGGCAGAAAATACACCATTAGCAAAAAGTATTTATCAAAAAGTAGGACATACAAGTCTGTTACAAGATATCAACTGGCTTAGATAGAATTTATCTATTTTTAAAATGCATTAATGATTTTGCAATATACTTTTGTTGAGACATTTTAAAAAATCCTGATTTTAAGCAAAGCACGCAAAAAGGAACGATACATCAGAGATGTCAACTGGGCTATAAAGCATTCTATTAAGACTGTCTTCCCTTTTTTTTTCCACATAGCAAAAATTCTTATTGAAACTGACTTTTTCATAGCTATTTTGAAAGCGATAATCTCTGATGATTTTTTAAAAATACTTATAGATAATGTTTTCTACACTTTCTATTACCTTCAAATGCCTGTGTCCTCTTGGAAGTGAAAGCATTTAATTCATGACAAAGTTGAAGTTCTATAAACTTTGACAAGGTGTGCCCTTCTAACCTTCTTGCATGCAAATGCAAGTTTCATGTTACAGCTTATTAAACAATATTATGGAAATCAAGTAGGAATCACATAAAGAAACAGAATTTGACACCATGACGGCTTACCAATGTTAACATAAACGTTGGAATTAAATCTAGCCAAGGATGGCAACAACAACAAGAAGGGCTTCTTCAAATACATTAGTAGTGAAAGAAAGACCAGGGAAATGGTGGGCCCACTGCTGAACGAGGCAGGTACCCTGGTGACAGAGGATATGGAGAAGGTGGAGTTGCTGAATGCCTTCTCTGCCTCAGCCTTTACTACTAAAGCTGGCCCTCAGGAATCCCTGACCCTGGTAGTAGGGAAGAAGTCAGAAGAAAGGAAGACTACCCCTGGTCAAGGAGGACTGGGTTAGGGATCTTTTAGGTAAACCAGACACCCACAAATCCATGGGCCCTGATGGGATGCACCCACGAGTGTTGAAGGAGCTGGCGGATGCCATTGCAAAGCCACGCTCCGTCATCTTTGAAAGGCTGTGGAGGACAGGAGAGGTGCCTGAGGACTGGAGGATAGCCAGTGTAACTCCAGTCTTCAAGAAGGGCAAGAAGGAGGGCCTGCAAAACTACCGGCCAGTCAGCCTCACCTCCATTCCCGGGAAGGTGATGGAACAGCTCATTCTGCCTGTTACCTCCAAGCACATGGAGGAAAAGAGATCGCCTTTTACCTCCAAGCACATGGAGGAAAAGAGATCGGGAGTAGTCAGCATGGATTCACTAAGGGGAAATTATGCTTGACCAATCTGGTAGCCTTCTATGATGGTATGACTGACTGGGTGACTGAGGGGAGGGCAGTGGATGTGGTCTACCTTGACCTGAATAAGGCCTTTGACACTGTCTTCCATCGCATCCTCATAGGGAAGCTTAGGAAGAGTGGGTTTGGCCTTACTAAGGCTTTTGACGCTGTCTCTCATTGCATCCTCATAGGGAAGCTTAGGAAGAGTGG